TGAATCTTACAAGAGATTTGGGGAATCTTGAAATTGATGAAAAAAATTGCCACAACAGCAGAACGCTGCGTTGTAGCCGCATGCACGCGCATAAATGCATAACGTTATGATAGCATAAAAGGTTAGAGCTCGTAGCACCGTTTAATTTTCCGTCGTACCCTTTTTTCTCTCTCATATCTATTACCCCCTCAAAGATATTGCCTCTCTTAATTCCAAGTAATATCAAGGCAGATTCGTTCCACGGGTTTTGTAAAAATTTTATGGCAACGAGGAGAGGCTAGCTCCTTGCATAACATTTATTTTGCAATAAACAGGGAGCAACAAATTTTTTGTTCGTTAAAACGTTGAATAAGTTTTCGGGGCGGAGAGCTTCAAATACGAGGAACGCGTTTAACGTAATCTTCGGACAAGTCGCACGACGGTATAAAAAGAAAAGGAAACGGGAAACAAGACAACGTAAAGAAAAGGAGAACGAAGAAAAAAGAATAGCAACTTTGTAAAACGTGGACGGGTCTATTAACCGGCACGCGTTATCATGCCGTCAGACTTGCTTCTAAAAAAGGAAAGAGAGGGGGGTAGAGAGACAAAGAGAAAGAGAGAGAAAGTGAGAGAGACGAGGAAAAGGAAAACACGGAGCTTAACTGGAAAAAGAAGCTAATAACGCGGACTACCGTATACAGACACTGGTTAATGCCGCTCGTAGCGGCCACTTTCGGTGAAGTCTCTCGAGAGTGAAGAAGAAGCTGAGGAGAATCAAGATAGAAGAGAGCTCGAGGAACCCCGATGGGAAGCGGCACTAGAGAGGAGAACAGAGACACGGAATAGAGTGAGAGAGAGAGAGAAGGAACTAGTCCGGGACTGAATGGTCGAGGAAAGGAGCCGAAGGAGTAGCCGCGAGCTACGGACCGTATTATGGAGCAAAGTAAAGGAAAGGCAAGTGCTGGCACCGGAGCTAGTCGAGGGTGAATTTAATTCATAATCCGCCACAATGCCTACTTGCCGGCAGCACGGCTCATCAAGGTTTCACGAGGCCTTTTTCTTCGGCCATTGCCGACCGTGAACTCTTCCCTCTCTCTCTCTCTCATCCACTCTCTAGAGAGGATTCTATGAAACCTAGCCCAGCGAATCCGCCGGTTGAATGCAAGCCAAAACATAGAACAAGGAGGATCACGGTTTGTCATGTAAACACGTTTCGATTATGAAACAGAAGAGCCTGGAGATTGCACGATTGGTATTTCATTGTTGTACCGACCCAGTGGCTATTAATATCTGATGGACCGATTTAACCCTTCTACTGGGGGATATTGTCAACTGGTTTTATCGCTTTTGTCTGAAACCATCAATTATACACGCTTCCAGCTTTTGCATTTATTATTTATTTTACTTTATATGTATTTTTAAATTCAATAATTTCTGTTGAAAAACAAGGTTTAATCTTTTATAAATAATTGCACTTTTATTATTGTAATTACGAATTCCTCTGTTTTAAGTGATTATTGGATCACAGAGATATCTGAAATTACTCAGTAGGATCATTTCTCGATAAGTATGGACGTATTCTCTTTCATTGTTGACTCGTAAAGCAGTTTTACAGTAGTCAAAGCCTGTTGGCATGAAGTCAGACTTATGAATATTTTTACGACAGCGAAAGTATTTTTTTACTACCGATTTATTAGCGGATATACGATTTAGTTGCTGGCACGAGTTGGCCCCGTGATTAGGGGTTCCGACTCGGGTCTTAAATTTGCGTATGGCTCGTAAATGAAACAACTCGATTTTATGTATACCAACATAATACTTACCATATTCTCAGAATTTATTCCTTGCATTCTCCCTTGTCTTTCAACTATTGCGAAATATAAAATCCATTTAGCCGACGAGTAGGAAAATTAGTATCTCTGAGTCAAATGAAATCATAATTCAAGATTGCAATTAAAGTTTAAACAGTACAATGTACGCACATAATAGTTTTGTTATTTTTTTTTAATTTTTCAATTGGTTTAAAGCGTTTTACTTTTGAAAGGTAAAACGTGAGAATTGAGGAGCAGCGAGAAAGTCGATACTGTGGAAGCATCCAGTGAAAATAAGGGAAGAGTCGTTTTTAAAAGAAGTAGGAGGGGAAGTGTTGAACGCGGCACACCATAAACTCCGGGACATTTGATGATTATGACGCATCGCGAGCAGTGGTTTTTGTTCGAGGGAGAAGGTTTACGGTCTCTCGTTTCTGACAATTTCAACGTCGTTTCTTTGCATGCCATTAACATTATTTTCCTCGTGCAGCTGTTTTTTACTGTTCCCCGCGAATTGTTTCGACGTTACTGTTCGTAAAAGCTACTTAAAATTACTTTCTTCTACGAATTCCTCCTACCAGCTATTTTCGTTATGCGGCTTTTCAGTATGGATTTTTATTTTCTTTCATTCTGCAAAGTGATAAAACAAATTCCTATTTAGAATTATTAATTTTCCAAACTGATATTACCTCGTAGTATTGTCGTCTGGTAATTAAAATGATTTTTTTCGTTTGAAACCTCGAGACGAAATATCGAATTGAAAAAATTTCGAACGAGGAGAGTTCGGTCGATTTGAAACCGAAATTGCTTTTTATTTTCCGAGCGCTATCCTCACTCGAGCGGTAGAATAGTTCGCCAACCAGGGTACGAAGACAATGCGAAAATCGAGGAAAAGATGATTCCACGTAACCATTGTGCAGACCGAAAAGCTCGCGACAATTATCCGCTGTTTCACATTGTGCGAAATCGTCGGCCTGGTCCATTTAATGAAAAATCGGCCAGACGCCGTCACTAGCGCGTCGACCGATCTTGATTACGGTTGTCATCGGCCGCAATTTCAAACAACGAGTTTAATTCGATTGTACAAACGGTTTCAGCGATTTTTAGAGACACATGTGCCTCGTATAACTGGATAAACGCTTGATAGGCTGTTGGTACAGTAAACGTTTCCGTTAAATTCTATTCTTAAAATCATTCTTCTTCTTTTACTGAATAGTCGCGTTGATATAATGAAACTCATGCATACTGTTGAATAATTATACATGCGAATTGATTATTATAACGTGCAAACCTTAATCCCACTTTATTACTATCTTTTACTCAATGCAAAAATTGCGAGTACGTAACTTCAGCAAAAAGATTATTTAATCATTTAATCGGAGACAAGTAAAATTTGAAGCGGAAGACTGGATCATTTCCAGAAAGTATTTGATTTTATATACATACATATGCAAGAGCTACATATAGTGTATTATTAAATGCTGTGACTTCTACCGCTCATTCCGCGTTTTTTGTTTCCTCGACGTCATTCGATACTTTAGTTTAGAATGTTTTTTAGTATTCAGTCGAACGGGAGTCCGGTTACTCGCAAAAATCGTCGGGTTTCAACAGTTTATAGATGATGCTTTAAAAACTCTGTGTTAGTCACTCGAGGAACTTCTGTTACAATTGATATTGTCGATTGCCTGTCGCTCGTGTAGTGCTCGTGTCCAGTTTACTCTAAAACAGCCATTCCGTTACTTCCAATGTACAATGTTTTTTTTATAAACGATAACTTTATTTTCATAATTATACATTGCACTTTTTTAGAAGAATGTTGTTGTTAATCTGCAGTAATTTAGTTTCCTAAAAAGAGTTTGAATGCGCAAAATTATGATAACGGGGAGATTTTAGATTGAAAAATCAGGTGAAACAAGAATTGATGAATGCACATACATTCGAGGTAAATTATAAAAAATATATAACGCATGAGACACAATTTTATATTTACAAATGAGAGATTGAAAACCATTAATTCTCTGATGTTCTGTTAAATTATAATCGATCGCGAGTTATTTATTGTTATTTATTGTAAACCACAGTAAATACATCAATTTTTAATTTAACCGCGACTGCATAAATATCAAGCGAAGTTTTCCCTGTGCACGTATTTTGCAATTAGTCCAGCTTTCATCAACGCAGATAATCCCGATTCTTGCTACTGTTTGAACGGGCTGTCGCTTTTCAAGTCACGCATTGATTTTTCTTTGAAGTTTGTTAATCCTCTGATAATTGAAGTTTGTGGTAAAAATAATCAATGGGAACCATTTAACGTGCTTTGGAGGATATATGTAGAACATGATTTATTTTGTATATGTAATATGTAGAATATGATTATTCATGGATTGTATAAAAGATTTATAATTTTTTTTATTAAGCTATATGCATATTTATTAGATGTTCATATTGAGTATTAAATATACTGCCAATTAATTAATGTTTAATACTTAGGATACTTTATTTCTATAGTAAAACTCGTAAGCTCCCACACCGTAATCGCGACTTGTAAGCAGAGTGAACACCAAAAGCTGTGGATAGTTGTCCGAGAAAAGTCACACGGTCTCGTCTACGTAAGCCGACTTTGGCCTCAGCGTGGCGTGAATTAATCCTCCGGTTAGTATGCGGCCGGTGACTCGGCTGTTACAACATCGCTGGCAATAACCCCCTCGCGAAATATTGTGTAAAGGCCGATATACCTTCGCTACGGGTCGGCGTCCTATCGCCCCGCACCCACTCGGCCAGACGTGTGCTCGCTGTTGAACTTTCACGCACCTATCTCGACGCGACGGCAAACACGAGGCCAGCCACCCCTCGCAGTGTTTAATCTGCCGATCTTAGATAGAGACTCGTCCGCGGATTTCCCTCGCCGACACTTATTTCGATCCCGCAGCTTGCTTGATTGAACTTCGAATGGGAAACGATAAGTAGATTCGAAGATATGCGTTTTTTTTAGGTAGTCTCGGTTTCTAACAATTTAACGACGACTTTTTAAAAGCTTCACCTATTTATATGCCAAATTTGATTATTAATTCTATTATTAAACTGTATTAATTTATTTGAGATAGTTTTAATACAATTTTCCTGGCATCATCAAAGTAATTACAAAAATTATATATATTGGAGGACTATTAAAGGATTGAGATGATCAATGAAAAATGAAGAACGCATAACTTTTTTCACGGCAGTTACTTTGCCCACATTTTATTACATATGTCGAGTGTATCCATAAGAATCTCTCTCAGTTCCCCACTTTCTTATTCTCCTCATGTAAATAACAACATTCAACTCAACGGCGCAAAGCATAATAATATTATATAATAATATATCATGTAACATACAATATATATAATATATGATATATCATTACTCAATAGTCCCACTTAATCCATATTTATATTTATTTATTTATATATTTATATATTTATATTCTGTGTTATGTATACATATATACCTTCGCGTTTAATTCGTTTTATTTGCAAGTTTCGATTCCAGTGGTTTCCATCGAGACTCTAAAGAAGTTGGAAACGTCTCAGACACTTTTTTCAATCAGCTACCAACACAAACTCGTACAGATTAAAAAGCTACAAGAAAAATCTCCTAATTTTTTGTTTCCCTTCGATGTTCAGAATAGTTCTTACGAAATAGAAGTAAACGAAGCGTGGATCGATAGTAACTCGTTGAGTTTCGACGGAAAGCGATGGGATCGATCACTTAAAATCACTTAATCGCTACGAGACGACCGCGACGTCGATTTCGTTATACGCTAAGGTCAAAATATCCTCCCTATGTACGGTATTATTCACTCTTCTTCCCGCGCACACCCTCGCTTGTTTACAACGATAGTACAAAACTCGGTGAAATCAATTCGAAACGGCGAAACGAAAATATATCGCAAGGAATACGATTCGAACACCCTGGACCCGATTCTCCTATCTAAAGCATTTCAATCGAACAATGACATTCATTTCTTTTACAAAGAGGACTAATTATTATTCAACAATTTCATTTTTACGTCGAATCTTCCGAAAACGTACAATCTCATTTTTTCACAATTCTGTTACTTTTTTTCATATCAAACGAACATAAATCCAGTTAAATGTTATTCAAATGTTTCGACTACGTTTCTTGAAAGAATCAAATCCAGTCGTGGATCGTTCCGCTCGCCAGAGAGTAGACGTAACTCGCTTTTTAACCGGACGCCTCTCTCGTTACACTTACTCTAAATTCAATACGAAACCAGGGCGAAATGTTCTCGCGTCGGAGCAAAATCGTCAACGGTCCTCGTTCGTCGAAAGCGTAACGACGGCACCGAGCCGTCGTCGCGGGAATCGTCCGTCCCGGAATTTTGTTCACCTCCGGCAGCTATTATATTTACTTAGTTTATTTACTCGTATTTACAGAATCCGCCAGCTGACGAGTCGAACGTTATTATACTCAGGCCGATATTTCTATATAAATGTGCAACCTGCGTCATTGTTCTCTCCGTGTCTCCCGGTTGAAATCAGCTCGACGAGAATAGAATTACTCCCCGCATCGCTTTTTGCTCACCGCTGATCTCTGCTAATTAGGAGTCCCTCTAATTAGATTAAAAATCAACTAGCATCGTGCTAATTAGACTCCGTTGCCTTCAGTTTGTTCACATGATTAATTCGTCAACAGAAACGATTGATCTCGAGGGAAGATTAATGACTCTTTTTAAGTTACTTTGATGATATCGAAAGCGCTCGCTGCAAGGTCAGCATAATTTCTGTTCACGAACACTAATGGATCTCATTTATTGCAATCGATATATTATTTCGTTTCCCGACACACAGAGGCTCGCAAAACGAATAAAGGATGTACAGACGAAAACTGTTTATTCGAGGGCTGGATGAGAGATCGTCTGATTCTGTTCTTAGATGCGTGGGTACGATGACCTGAAGATCCGTCGCATGGAGCTGCGGTGGTAAGTCTGCGGTAATCCCCGAGTTACTCTTCTTTAATCCATCATGGTGCTTTAACCCGTTCGCGGAGTTCGTCGCGACGGAGCAACGGGACTCCCACGAACCTGTTGCTTTAAACAAGATGTACGCTGAATAATGGATATTCCTAAGTAGTTCGAAGTCCGCTTTAAACCTCGCCGCCGGTGTTTGCGCGTTCACCGAGGAAATTCCGAACCAGCCTCGTTAATTAACACGCGAATAAATTAATCGACACAGTAACGAAGGCCTGCCGCTGTTAAACTTTGTTAACCATCCTGATTCGTCGCAAATAAACAGTCTTCGGTGGAGTTTATTAAGGATAATAGCTCAGCAGGATTTAATTCGTGGATAAAACCGAAAACGAGCTCGTACTTGTTCGCTTTTACACATTTGCCAATTACTTTCAATTAGAGTAATAGAAATTATTGGATCAGACAATCTTTCTAATTGAAGTGGAATTCATTTACCATTGTTTTATAAAAGCGGTACTGTTGGAGACTCATCCTCGGTGAGGTTTTTTCGCGCCTGCTTTAACGCGCACGCAGGATTACAATTAATACGCGTTTACGGATTTTCGAGCCACGGCTCCCTTGATGGATTAAAATCCACAGGTCCCGTTTGATATTTCGCAGCACACGTGTACATTGATTTCCATTGTGCAAATTGCGTTGGGAATCAAACCGGAATGTACTGCTTTTTATTTTCCATCCATTTCCCTCTCGGATCTGATTTCTACTTTGTTTTCAACGTAAATCATCGAAATAGACGCTCGTGATTACTGGCAGCAAAGCTGGGGGTGTAAACTGAAAATTTGTGAGAGGTATCTCGTGAAATTACGTTCGAAAATGTTCTGATGTTCTTTTAGGACCTGATAAACACGCTTTACTCGCTAGGCGAAACTAATGCGACGGTTAATCAAGTTTACTTTTTATCTCCTACACGTTACTTATTTATAATGTAGCACTGTGCTTTTTAAGCGTTTCAATATTTTCCTTGTCGTTCGATATTTTTACGTATGTTTTGAGCACTCCTCTCTCTGGACACTCTCTAAAGAATTATTTAACCCTGACGAAATGTGCCTCGGTGCGTCTTCTTAATTTACATTTCTTCCTGATACTCTGGGTTTTATTTATTATAGGATACCCTCGAGCCTGTTCAAGTCCAAATTCTTATACACTTTTTTTTTTAATCCATGTTTTTACAATCTGTTATGCATTTAAAATATGAATATTGAAATAAAGGAGGAAGGGAAAATCAGAAAGAAGGGAAATAATAGTTTTCCTCGACGATGCTATATCGACCTCTAATCTTCGTCCCCTCCTTACTGTCTCGTGCCCACCCTCTGTACCGAATCTGACATTTTAATCTCAAGTATCCAAATGAGATCCGCGAAGAACACCTTGCAAACGAAATGAAAAAGGGAAGGAACTCGACTGAGTATGAAAAAATGTATAAGAATCGGTGGCAGTTCTGGGTCGCTGATTTCTTCCTTTAAGAATTGATCATAAATTAAATTATTTTACGTAGAAGTAAGATGGATGAAGACACGACATTTCATATGAATCAATGAATTTCATTATCTGCTTTTTTCATGATCAACTGAATTAAAGTAATAGAATTTTTCTGACAATTCAAGAATTGTGCACGATTTTATACAGGGTGTCCCCGGATTAAACGATCGAATTAGTAATGAAGTTTAATTAAAGGCAGAACACGAGTACACCTGCATGTACTTGAAGTACTTGAAGATATGAAAATTCCTAGGGATCAATCAAATAAATTCTATTATCATTTTCAAAATTGATTTAATACTCGATAAAGCTTTAAATTGTGGACTGGAACAGGCTTGATGATTTTTCAGCTATATTGGAGACCGTTGGCGCGTACTCTGACATTACGGCGTTATACAATATGTTACACTGAAAGCGATAGTCGTTGCACTTTGTGATTTGCCCACCGATGCCGGTTCACCATTATCTCCTTTCCACTCGGATGTTACTCTGTAGAAATAATTCTTCGTTTTACTTACTCCGCACTTCCCGCCTCGTTCCCATGGGCCTCGGACACTTGCGCTACACCGATACTTGGCACGCGTAATTGTGTTTTAACTCTTATTTATTATCGTTCTTCCGTGTTTCTTTTTAGTACGACACTAACTACTCAGTCATTTGACCATCTGTTTCCTTGTTTACGTGTATACGTTTATGATGCTTGCGCACGCTAACTTTCTTGCGCTCCGCGGTTTAAATACAGTCCTTAAATTGTAGATGATGATCGACATTCTCAAGGCGTTTTTTCGTAGCTTCTTTATCGAATGATCGACGTTGCGATCAGCGCGACCACCAAGAGCAACCCTGTCGTCGCGACGCTCGTCGCCACGTCTGAAAAAAATAAAAACGTGATATAATACAAATAAGAAAAATATCAATCAGACACAAGAGAACAAGAGATTTCTTAATCAATAAATAAATCTTTTAATATGCATTCTTAATTGTTGGAATGTTTGCATTATTTATATGATGAAAGGACAAAAATACAAACAGCAATCATACGAGTATGTCAATTAAAATTGTATACGATCTGATCATAATGGAACATATCCTGCTTTTCTACGATGTATCATAATTAGACTGTGAATCTTTATGCAAAATAAAGATAAAATCCTTATGGTATCAGTGTTGGATTGCACGAGAACAAGGAATGAGATGACTATAAGAATTCTAAGTTGACTTTATTTCTATACTTAATACGAGTTTTAAGACGGAAGTATTTTAACTCTTGTTGGGTTGTAGAATAAGGAAAACTCGGGGAAGTAAAGTAAGAAAGAGGGGATGGTTATGAGTAAGGACTGAAGAAAGGTCAAGAATGATTTAAGGTTTCAGGTTGGAGAACGATCCACAATCTTAGTTTATATGATTCAGAGTTATTGCTTCACTAACT